GGTTTTCAGGAGACTATGGAGTCAGGATGAACCCCGGCAAGCTGAGAACTCTATGTGAATTGGAATGGCCCATTTTTGATGTCAGGTGGCCTTCAGTAGGGACATTGGATGTTCCAGTGATTCATCGAGTATGGTGAATCATAACAGGAGAACCAGGAGACCCTGACCAGTTTCCATACATTGACTCCTGGCTAGGAATTGCTCAGACCCTTCCCCCCTGGGTGCGATTCTCTTGCAATAGGCAGGGACAGGCCAGGGTCTTAATCACCTCATCCAAGTGACCTAAAGAAAATCAGCAAAAGCCCCAGTCTCCACAATACTAGCCAGAGATCCCGAGGACGAACCGACCCTGCCCCCACCATACATACCCCCAAGACCACCTACACCTGGCCCTTCAGCTCCAGACACTCTGCCACCATCAGTTTCACTGGCGCCCCCAGGCCCAGAGGATCCACCGGTGCCCCCAGGCCCAAAAGATGCACTTTCTCCAAGACCAGCAGCCAGGCTGTACCCCAGGCCAGATGCAAGTGCCCTCCAAATGCCGGTACGAGAGACAAGGGAACCCGAGAGGCACGATGAAGATAGGACGGTCCCAACCCGGCCATTCCATGATGTATTATCAGCCCTTCTCCACCACCGACCTCCTCAAGTGGAAACAAAACCCCATCCTACTCTGAGAAACCACAGGCTATAGTAGACCTCATAGAATCCCTCTTCCAGACTCATCGGCCAACCTGGGAAGACTGCCAACAGTTACTCCGCACCCTGTTTAACACAGAGGAAAGGAGGAGAATAATGAAAGATGCATGGCAGTACCTGGAAGAGCACGCACCCCTGGGAGTCATCAACCCTGTTGCCTGGGCTAATACAACCGCACCCAAAGAGTGCCCAGCATGGGACTTCACCACAACCGAGGGACAGGCCCACATCCACCAGTACGAGGAGGCCCGCCTCTGGGGAATCTGGGCAGGAGCTAAGAAACCCATGAATATGACTAAGGTATCCTCGGTCACTCAACAACCAGGGCAGTCCCCCGGGGACTACTATGAAAGCCTATGTGAAGCCTAAGGATATACACTCCATTTGACCGTGAGGCACAGGAAAGCCAACAGATGGTAAATACCTCCTTCGTGGCTCAGGCTGCCCCAGACATCAGAAAAAACTTCAGACACTAGAGGGTTTTGCCAGGATGAACATCACCCAGCTGATAGAGACTGCCAATAAGGTCTACATGAACAGGGAGGTCGTAGCCGAATGGGAAGCTGACAAAAAGATGAAAAAGAAAGCCAGCCTCCTTGCCGCTGCCCTGAAAGAAAAGGACAACACAAAGATGGGGAGATCCCAACCACCAAAAGGGGGGAAGACCAGAACCCCTTTGGCGAGGGATCAATGTGCCTACTGTAAAGAGAAAGGGCATTGGAAAACGAATGTCCCAACCAGGGAAAGGCTCAAAAGCCCAGCCGCTACAAGGAAGAACCCCTAGAGGAGGACCTCATAGGCTTTGCGGGAATGGACTCAGACTGAGGGGGACCGGGCTCTTTCCTCCTTGGCACCCATGAGCCCACAGTCAAAATCAAGGTGGGGGGCCAACCAGTGACTTTTATGGTTGATACTGGGGCCGAGCACTCTGTTGTCAGCAAAAGGACTGTGACCATCCTTGGGGCCCCTGGGATGCGGGCAATACAACAGCCCTTTTGCCAGGCTCACCAGTGCAAACTCAGGGGCCACAAGGTCCGACATGAATTCCTTTATCTGCCTGATTGCCCCATCCCTCTCCTGGGCTGAGACATACTCTCCAAGCTTAGGGCTCAGATAACCTTTGAGCCCACTGGACACACTAGCCTCTGATTGAACCCAAGGCAAGAGGAGACGGGGTCTCTAATATTAGCAATTACCACACCAAGGGAAGAAGAATGGAGGCTATTCTGTGCCCAGGCCCAACTGAGCAGTCTGCTGGAGATCAGACTCGCCTTCCCTTCAGTATGGGCTGAAAACAACCCACCTGGACTAGCCCAGAATCGGGCCCCTATCATTGTTGAACTGATCCCAGGAGCCCAACCTCAGAGGCAAAGGCAATATCCCCTTCAACTAGAAGCTAAGATCAGGATCCAAGAACATCTGACCAAACTCAAAGAAACAGGTATTCTAGTCGAGTGCCAGTCAGCCTGGAATACCCGACTCCTGCCAGTCAAGAAGCCAGGAGGGGATACCGACCAGTTCAACACCTGCGGGCCATCAACAAGGTGACCATCTCTCTGCACCCAGTGGTCCCAAATCCATACACCCTCCTTGGCCAAATCCCAGGGTCAGCCAGATGGTTCACTTGCCTAGATTTGAAGGATGCCTTCTTCTGCCTCTGTTTAGCACCCCAGAGCCAGCCACTATTTGCCTTTGAATGGTCTGAACCTGACACAGGGCACCAGATGCAACTGACTTGGACGCACCTCCTGCAGGGGTTTAAAAACTCACCAACCCTCTTTGGGGAAGCGCTGGCCGCAGACCTCGCCAGCTTCCCAAGAGAGGCCACACGGTGCACCCTCCTCCAGTATGTGGATGACCTCCTCCTCACCAGTGACACACAAGAAGACTGCACAAAAGGTGTAAAGGCCCTCCTACAGCTCCTGTCAGACTCAGGATACTGAGCCTCATGGAAGAAGGCACAACTCTGCCAACAACAGGTTCAATACCTTGGGTTCCTCCTCACCCAAGGGAAAAGAGAATGAGGGCTGGAGAGGAAAAGGGTCATCATCTTCCTGCCATAGCCCCAGACAAAAAGGGGCCTACGAGAATTCCTGGGGGCTGCAGGATTCTGCTGCATCTGGATCCCTGGGTTCTTGGCAATAAGAAGACCGCTTTATGATCTCTTAGGAGGACCAGATTGAGAACCCCCTGCCTGGACTGAGGAAGGAAAAGCCACTTTCATAGAGATAAAGACCACCCTGGGGCAGGCTCCAGCTCTGGGCCTACCAGATGTAGAGAAACCCTTCAATCTCTTTGTGCATGAAAAGGAAAAAATAGCACTCGGGGTACTCACCCAGACTGTTGGACCCTGGCAACGGCCAGTTGCTTACCTGTCAACGAAGCTGGGCCCCGTGGCAGCAGATTGGCCACCGTGCCTCAGGGCACTGGCAGCCACAGTCCTACTCGTCAAGAAGGCAGACAATCTCACCCTGGGGCAAGAACTTAACATCAAGGTCCCTCATGCAGTTGTGTCCCTCATGAATGCACAGGGATACCACTTCCTTTCCAACTCTCAGCTAGCACAATACCAAGGCCTCCTCTGTGAAAACCAGCAGGTCACCCTTGAAACAGTAAGGACATTAAATCCAGCAACCTTTCTCCCCACAGAAGAGGGGCAACCAGATCATGACTGCTCTGAGGTGACTGATGAAGTCTACATGAGCCGTCCAGATCTGTGGGATCAAGCCATAAAGAATCCAGAGCTCATGCTGTTCAGCGATGGCAGCAGTTACCTAAAAGAGGGTGCCTGGAAAGTGGGTTATGGAGTAACCACAACCACTGAAGTCCTAGAAGCTAAGGCATTACCAGCTGGATGGTCAGCTCAACGGGCTGAATTATATGCCTTAGTCCGAGCCTGAGCCCTCAGTGAAGGCAAAAGAGTCAACGTCTATACTGACTCTGGGTACACCTTCGCTACTGTACATATACATAGAGCCATCTACAAGGAAAGGGGCCTCCTAACCGCAGCAGGAAAAGCTATCAAGAACAAAGAGAAGATACTGAGACTCCTTGAAGCCATCTGGCTTACAAAGGAAGTAGCAATCCTGCACTGTAAGGGACACCAGAAAGGAGATGACCCCATAGCGTGGGGGAATGGTCTGGCAGATGAGGCAGCCAAGACTGCAGCCAGTGAGGACATGGACAGAGCCCCTTCCCTCACCATGGCCCTAACACCCCCAGAAGAAGTCCCTCCACCCAGTTACACTAAAAAGGAAAAGGAATGGACCATGGCTGAGGGAGCCACCCTGACTAAAAAGGGATGGTGGATGATGCCAGATGGGTGCATCTTTGTTCCAACAGCAACTGGAGGGCTTCTAGTCAAGGAATACCACCAACTCACTCATCTGGGAAAAACTGCATTAGAGGCCCTTCTCAAGAAGCACTACTACATCAGTCAGCTGCCAGCACTATACCGAGAAACGAGTGAATGGTGCATAACATGTGCTAAAAATAATCCTCGATCTGCACCATGGCCCCCACCAGGTGTCCAGAGGATGGGAGCAACCCCCTTCGAAGATCTAGAGGTAGACTTCACAGATGTGCAGCCGAGCAGGGGGTTCAGATATCTCCTAGTAATAGTACGCACATACTCTGGGTGGGTTGAAGCTTTCCCGACAAGGACGGAGCAAAGCTGGGAAGTAGCTAAACTCCTCTTGCGGGAGATCATGCCCCGGTTCAGCCTGCCATTAACAATCCATAGTGACAATGGACCCGCATTTGTGGCAGACGTTGTACAAGTCTTGACCAAATCTCTCAGCATCACCTGGAGACTCTACACCACTTACAGGCCCCAAAGTTCAGGGAAAGTAGAGCGAATGAATTGCACCCTCAAGGGAACCTTGGCAAAGTTTTGTCAGGAGACTAACCTCCCATGGCCAGATCTGCTACCCCTAGCTCTCCTGCGTGCTTGCTGCATGCCCAGGACATTGGTTTCTCCCCATTCGAATTAATATATGGACGGCCTCCCCCGTGCTTGGGAAGCCTTCCAAGAAACTTGCATCAGGTTGGAGATAAAGGGATAAAGGAGCAGCTTCAGGCCCTGAGGGCCACCCTAAATAAATTACAAAAGTGCACCATTGAGATGGCCCCAATCTCCTTAGGGTCTCAGGTACACTCCTTCCAGACAGGGGACCCATTTGAGTCAGAGATTGGAAGAAAGTCCCCCTCAAACTGCAGTGGACAGAGCCCCACACTGTTGTACTAACCACCCCTACTGCCCTCAAGGTCTCAGGTGTCACCCCATGGGTCCACCACTCCAGAGTGAAGAAAGCTCATCATTCGGACGAGGAGCCGCGCCAGTGGAGAGTCCAGCCAGACTTCACGAACCCGTTCTGGCTTCACCTTCGACAAGACCCTACCAACTGATGGACACCTGCTCACCGTGTTCCCTGGCTCTTATCGGCATGATTTCCCTCATCTTGGGAGTCGGACTCTACACTGTTGCCCCTCCTTACTGGACTTTCCCCCAGAGGCTTACTATTGTCATTGCTTATTGGGTGACCCTAGGGTGTATTACTGCACTTACTTGTCCACAGGTTTCATCTGCTGTCGGGTTAGCCATGATGGCTCCCTCTAACTAAGGTCGTAGAACCCACTTTTACTGGCCCTCTGCTGTCTACTCCTGAGTGCATTTCACCATGGTTTTCCTGGCCCCAGTCAGTCCTGGTCTTCTGCTACCTGGTGTGCTGTTCCTCCTCACTGCCTCTAGCTTGCCTGGTCAGGCAAGGGGGACAACTCTTATATCACCATTACTGGCAAATGGACTTTCCTGCTTATCCCCCCTCAATCCTACACCAGCAACCCCACTGACTTCTTCCACCTGGGATGGGCACACACTAAAGTTTAACCTCCATTTTGATAGATGCCAGCTTCTTAATACCTCCTGGGAACCTCATAGATGGTGTTCCTACCAGGGCCCTCACTCAGGTTACCAGCTGGTAGATATCTACATCTGTGGGGGCCCTACGCCTCAACAGCCAAACGCCTGCCCTCAGTTCTGCTCGCAAGCCTGGGGATGAGAGTCATGGGTGGCAACTTAACCGGGAATGGAATGATGGTCCACTAGGTGGTAGCACCTCAAACAGCAAAGTGACATCTGGATTTCCTTGTCACACAATGCCACCCCATCCTCTTGCTCTAACAATCACTGTATACTGCTCACCCTCTCAGTCTTAGAACCCAATGCCACATCATGGGTTACAGGAATCATTCACCTGTTGGGCCAATATCACCCTATGGGGACCGACCCCATGGCCAAATTTATGATTAAGTCCATGTTCACTCCAGGCCTTACAGTCAACCCCCAGAGTCAGACAGAAAATAACTCTCTGGCACATCCCTGGGTCTGCCATCCACACACACCAGGCACCTATAGCACAACTGTTAGGTATGATTAACACCTCCCACCAAGCACTTAACCACTCAAATCCACCCCTAGGTTCTGACTGCTGGATCTGTATGAAGCCCGGTCCCGTCCAATACCTAGGTGTCATCCTCAACCAGTCCATAGTGTCACCTCTCACCTTGACACTGGGGACCTCAGATTATCCCTTTCTGGCTTCGGTTCTGCTGTATGGAAACTCTTCCTCTCCCATCACGGGCCACAGTCAGGTTTGTGCGCCTAACAACACTTTTCTGGCTTGTGATCAAGGTGTGTACGTCTGCAGCACCCCACACAATCAATCATGCATGCTTGTTAGTTTCTTACCCGATCTTTCAGTCCTCCCTGGGAGCGATGCCCCACTCATATGGAGACCTCCTAGCCACCCTCGATGCTCTTCCATGGCCATCCCTCTTATCGTGAGCCTGCTGGCCACATCAGGTGCCGCCCTCGGCGCCACTGGCATCGGGATGTCTCAGGTTCAGTACCAGGGGTTAACTCAACAACTCAGGGTGGATTTTTCCGCCCTCACTCAGTTGGCCCCGGCCCTGCAGTGCCAACTCCATTCACTGGCCTCAGTGGTCCTCCAAAACAGGCACGGGCTCAACTTGCTCACAGCCACACAAGGGGGCTCTGCCTCTTCTCACAAGAGGAATGTTGTTTCTATGTGCTAACGAGTTGGGGGTGGTCCAAGAAACTCTGACCCAATTACAGGAACAAGTGCATTATTGGTGGGAAACACTCCAGTGGACAACTTGGTGGGATACCCTCTCGCAATGGTTCCCTTGCTTCACCCCCCTCGTCGGTCCTTCCTATTGCTTCTCCTCATAGTGGCATTTGGTCTTTGTATTCTTAATGCCCTTACTAGGTTTATCACTACTCAAATTGCTAAAATCAGACTCCAGTACTCCTTACTCACTATCGCCCCATAGAAGATGAAAATAATGCCCTTTAAACTAGGTGTTTAAAGGGGCATCAAAGGGGGGAATAATGGGGAAAATCTAAGATGTCCTAAGATGGCCAACTGAGGCAGTGAGAGAGTCCCAGTCTTTGCCCCAGGACTCTTCCAGGTTCTTCTCCCTGCTCTGCTTCCCGCGTGCACCAATCCGGGTCCTTCTCCCTGCCTGCTTCATGCACATGCCAAAAATGCCAAGTATGAGGAAGTAGAAGTGTATAAATTGCCCCCTTTGTTTGTGCTCAAGGCTCAGACCTTTGGAGACCACTCTCCTCTGAGCCCAGCAGCATTAAATAAACCTCCTATCCTTCAAGATCTCTGGGTGCCACTTGGTTCTTCCATCAAGCAATCCAGTCCAGGTTCTGTAACACCCCAACCCTAGCCATGAAGATAGGGTAATGGTGATGTCAAAGAATGAAAATGATTGACCCAAGAAGTGGCCCCTGCTTCACGGTCTTTATGGAACCATAGCCAAGGGCTTTGGACATAACAATTCAGGAATGGATGGTAGAACTCAACCATGGATCTCCTCAGGTTCTTTTCCTATGTCATACATACCTTTTTGGGGAAGGGTGTCTGTGGCTTCTACCAGATTCTCAAATGGGTTCATGCTCAGAATTGGGTTAAAATCCCTGCAATGGAATGTCCCAGTTTTGCTCATATGATATACAGCCTTTGACTAGGGTGGGGGCACCCTGATCTAGCCTCTTGCCAAGCCAACCTCAAGACACAAGATAAGAGATGCTGTTGTTCACCTTACTATAAGCCACCTACAAGTTGAGGGTCTATATGGAAACAGCATTGAAAAGCCACCTGAATGTATATACCATGCAGTCATGTTTTCCAAGCTGTTCTCAACTTGACTGTTGAAATTATGGCAGAAAGCACAGTAGCAAAAAACAGTCAAAGTTTTGGCATGAAGTCAAAGAAAGTTAGAGATTGTAAGAGGTAGCCTAGCATAGGTGACTTGGACCAGGCCAAAAGAAATAAGATGAGAAAAGTGGTCAGATCCTGGATGTGTTTTGGAAGGCAAAGCTAACAGTTTGCTCATGAATTGGTGGAGGGTATGACAGAAGATCAGGTTTGAACACAATCAACCAACAGGATGGAGTTGCCATCAACTCCACGGGGAAAGGTATGAGTTTGAGATGCCTATCAGACATCGAGCAGAGAAATGGGGTAGGCAGTTCATGGAAGAGGTCCAGTCTAGACATATACATTTGAGTCATTAGAATATAGGTGATAAGCAAATCCATGAGACTCTCTGATATCGCCAAAAAAGAAAAGTAAATAAAAGAAAAGTCCAAGGACAAAGCTCTGAGGGCTCCAGGTTCAAGGAGTGGAGAAGGTGAAGAGAAACCAGTAAAGCAGGGTAAGAAGCAGCCACTACTGAGAAAGGAGAAAATCCCAGAAGGATGTCGTACCCTGGAAGCCAAGTCTGGTAGGTCCTCTTCTTCTCTAAAGATGGCCTCAGCACTCTTTCCTTTACAATGTGACCTTAACACAGTGCCATCGACAGGTGGGGTCTGCGACTATGGCCAAAGTGAAACTAGAATTTCCAAGGTTAGATGGTAAAAGGAAAGGCAATACAGCTTTTGCCTGGCCCTCTCACTCTTTGGAGATGTAGCTCATGAGGCCTGAGGATTTAAGACACGTGGCTACTCTGATGCAGATGGTGCCATACTGGGGACACCACAGACAGAGGCAAAGACAGAAATGGAGACGGATATCAGAGGAGTCCAAGCGTTCCAGCATCTCGGTGTATGTGAGTCTTCTTAGCCTAGGCACCAGGCCTGTGAGTAAATGAACCTCAGAGGCTTCCAGCCCCTGGTCCTTGAGTCTCCCCAGGTGACATGGAATGTTGTAGAAATGAGTTGTCCCCTCCAAGCCCTGTCCAGTTTGCAGATTTATGAACAAAATAAATGTGTTCATTGTTGTAAGCGATTAAAATTTGAGATCATTTGTTACACTGTTCTAGTAACAGGAACATGAAGAGAATGCAGAGTTTCAAAGAGAAGCAAGTTCTCACTTGTGTCAAAAGCTGCTTTAGGTAAAATAAGATGATGGCCTGGAATAGACCACTGGAAAATAACATAAAAGGCACTGGAAACACTGAAAAGGGGCATGGGCAGAGCTGAAATGAAGTGGGTTAAAGAAAAAATGGGAATTGAATTGTAATGTGAGCCAGTCATGATAACTCTTTCAAGGAGTTCTGTAACAAGTAAATTTGAGAAATGAGGCTCTAGCTGGAAAGGAAAGCAGGGTCAGGAGAGGCTTTGGTTGATGTGGGAGATGCAATAGTGTGCGTGTTGATGGGAATGATCCAGTAAAGTGGGGGAAATGGATGACATAGAAGAGAAAGGAGAGAATTGCTGGAGCCACTTCTGCTAGAGATAAGAGGGCCTGGGGTCTGTGACTCTGTGACATAGGTGGAAGGAGTGGCTTTAGCTCAAACATGGACAGTTTATTCATAGTTACGGAAGGGAAGGCAGAGTCTATGGGCACAGAGGCAGGTAAGCAGGTACAACAGTGGTGGGAAGAGGGGTAGCCTCTTGCTTGTTTGCTCCCATTTTCTTAGTGGGAGAGTAAGTGGCCTGAGGCAAGAGGTTGGCTTTCTGAACAGCATGAGCAGTCCACTGGAGGTTCATAATCATGAATTTAAAGGTAGACAAGTTGGCGTGGTTATGCCATTGTTCAGCCACAATCAGTGGCCTGTGTGTAAGCACAAAGCAGATGGGACATTGGACTTAACTGGAGTTATGGTGTTGTCAAGAGAAACCGAGTAAGGGAGAAGGTCAGGGAGTTGAGGGTCTATATGGAAACAGCATTGATAGTCACCAAGGGCTCCAAACACCAGATCTGGAGAAACTTCAGGGAGACATCCCTCATGTCCTGAAACCTTGGTTTTAAGTCCTAAGTGAATTATGCTGTGTGCTTTTTTAAAGATTCATGGTTATTTTGACTGGAAACCAGTTCTTAATTGAGTTCTCTTTAGAACAGGGTGCAGCAAACAGAGTTGGCACACGGGTG